CCACACTGTGCTGATTTAATGTTAGGTTCCATCTTCCATAGAGCAGAGGAAGGGGGAGAAAGTTTCTCTGACATGACTTTGCTACTGAAGGAGCAGGTCAGGAACATTATTTGCTTTCTCTGGGCAAACTGTCTTCCTAGTTTAGTGTCACAGGTGCTCCGTGGTGTCAGTAAGAGTTTACATAGTTGCCATAGCATAAGCTGAATTCTGTTTTAACTATGACTTGCCCTTTTATTATGGACTTGACTGGAGAGACTCCCCTAGTGTAAATGAAGTGCTTTATTTATTAGCAGCCAGGCAGCAGGGGCGAGAGCTCTCAGTGCTGGCAAATGCCCGCCATGCACTGGTAATAAAGGCTTTCTCTGGGGGCAGAGTGTGCTGAGCACTGAAAGAAGGAAGCAGTAGTAAACAAGGTGTTTTACATTCAGGACAGTTCCTCTCTCATCTTGAAGTGTGTAATTGTGTTCTGGATAAATTATGGAAATAAAAAAAAATCAGAAGTTGCTCATAGAGAAATAACCCTCTTTAAAAACAAGTAAATTTTCCAAGGAAGAGCCAGTAGAACCTTGGCACCCAGTCCTGATGTTGGCTGGTAAAAAGGACAAGCTTTATGGCGRGAGAACCTGGCAAAACTGAGTTGAAACACCAGCTCAGCCCCTTAGCTGAATTGTATCAGGCAACTTATTCAAATCTCTCTGAGTCTTGGGGTTTTCGTCTTTAAAGTGGGGTTATTAAAAATTCCAAGAGTTTAAAAGGAGAAAGTATGTAATGCAGCTGTGAGCACAACGCTCAGCACCGGATAACTGCTCTCCTCCCCATTGACTGTTTCCAATTCTTGTTTTTTTTTTTTTTTTTTTATTTATTATTGGTCTTTCAAAATATTACATAGTTCTTAATACATCATATTACACGGTTTGATTCAAGTGGGTTATGAACTCCCACTTTTACCCCGTTCCAATTCTTGTTTTTAAGATGTTCCCCACCTCCTTAAGGGAGGGCATGTTGTTGATTGAGTAGACTCCAATTTATGCAATGCCATCTAAATGGAGTTGATAATAAAATGAGGTTTTAGGAGAGAATCCATGAGCTATGTTAATTTAAGATTGAATTAATAGGGGATTTATATGCCAACTGCACCCCTACCCCTACTCCAACACAGCAGTAATGGTCATTGCTAATCATGAAAATAATTTTACCTTTTTTTAGATAATAATCTCTCTCTTGATTGTGATAAATGGCCTAGCAACTTCCAGTTTGCTACAGGAGACTTGCTTATGAGGGAATAGGCCCCTCCATTGCCAGAGTTTTATTTTTGGAAATTGGGGMGAGTCTGGAAGATATGGGGAATGTACTCACTATAACATAACAGTTGCTGGTATAAACTGAAATCCAGATTCTCACTCCCAAACCTCACCCATATATACCAATKAGCCGTCAAAGGTGTCTATACATGCCAGACATTGTTCCACCCTTAAAATAAATTACCTTGCAGCTAATAGCCTTATTTAATGGCCACAGTATATTGTGCCTATTTGATTTCTTTTGCCCRGAACATGTGCCATTTCTGCCTTGACAGTATATTCACTAATTGAGCTTGAGAAAATCAGAAATGTTTTATAAATGGGGTTTTTAAGAAAGGCACYAAAGTAGCCTGTTTTTATACCTCTACTACACATCAAATTGTATTTTATAACAACCTAATTGTCATGATATCTATTTCAAGGGGAAATTTATCAAGTCACAGTGCACCCTTCTGTTTGGAAGAAATAGTTGAGGATATGAGCAGAAATTATTTTTACATAAAGGCTTCAGGCAGTTAAGAGCACTGACACACATACCATATTTTCATCACTGTCATTCACYTCCTTTGCCTCAAATAAATAGGTCATTATTATCCCATTGCAGCCATCTTATGGTGCCTCAAAGTATGGAGCTCTGTTTAATATAACTGCCATCTAGCTGACCYGTATAATTTATTGGTGATTTTTATAGAATGACATCCTTGGGCCACCACCATCAGGCAAAGCACTCTGATATCTTTCAGCAAAATATTTCATTATCACTTATAATTTTTTAGCATTGGCATTAGAACCATGTTAACACAGCTAGAAATTGGCATTTTCTGAGAAACTAGATTTTAGGTTGGTCTTAATAATTTCAAAAAAATAATACAGTAATGTTGACAACATCACCATGGATTTGTTGAAGGCAGCAAGGGCAAAAAATTACAGATGGGAAAAGTTTACCTGAATGATTTGCTCAGTAATTACACATTATAAGGGTGCGGTCTTTAATTATAAATAATAATTAAGAATGTTTAGGCTTTATAAAAAGCACACAGAAATGCCTCTGGTTCTGTTTATTACCCTCATTGCTTAAAATGTAAAGTTATAGTCAACTCCTCTCTGCTTCCATCCCCTATATAAATGCTTTATAGTCTTAATATGAATACTGTATATCCCTTACAGAATATACCAGCCTTAGGATTTCTAGTAAGAAACTAAAATTAAAGCATATGGTTGTTTCCACAGGAACTATTCTATTAGTGCCTAATTGAATTGCAAGTGGCTTTAAGTCCCATTAGCTTCAAGATAGTAGTTAGCGTCTGTGAGGCCTTGTTTTTGTTGAACGGATTAATGCCTTTGAGGTCGTACATTTTATAAGTGGAAGATTCTTATTTGTGTTGCTAATAAACTTTCTTCAGATACAAGAAATCCTTCCCWCAACTGAAGTAAGGTTCCCATTTGTATTCTAGTTTCCTGAAGGCAAGTCCCCATTTTTAAAGGCTTGCCTAGCACTTGAATCATGCAGTTTAATTTTTTCTTAATTTTTTTACTAGATTGAATTACCCTGAGAATATAAAGACGATGTCCTTTCTGTTCGCACTTTTTCCAGGGCCATCCTGTGCACCTTGAAAAGCTTGCTTGATTGGCAGGAATTCCTTTCTTGTTTTTTTCTCAAATCTGGGAATAAACTATTCCCTCCAGCTTGGTTCTGAATTCTGTGTTTGTCATAGTAACCCACTCAGGGAAAAAATTTTTAAAATCATCTCATCCTCTTTTTTTTCTGATCATTTTTTTTCTTTGTTGTTATTCTGTAACATGGTTCAGTCTCTAAGCTTCCACTGCTGGATCCAGCTAAGGGAAATTTACCCTCTCATTGTCTACAGGCCCTGTGGGCCTGCATCCTCACACCTGGGTTAATTCCCTGGATCATGGAGCTCAAGGTCGGGTTTCATTTTGGTTTGCTCCTCAAGCACCAAGAATTTTTGTTTATCTGTGGCTCTAATAATTTTTTTCCCCCTTATCCTTCTAGTTTCCTCTCTTCTAATCCTCTGCCAGGGGCTGGTCTATTTCTAGGTGGATTTGGCTTAAAGCCATCTTAGACACCCCTTCTCACATTTTCCCACTGTGTCCTGCCAAAAAAGATTCCTTCAGCAGAAATATGATAGCAGGTGGAAATCCTCCATTTATTCTACTTGCATCTCTATTTATTCTGTCTACATTTTTTTAGATTAGTATTTATCTTTGACCTTTGTTTCTTAATGTGACAATGTTTCAATGTTTTTTTAAGGAATAAATAAGCATTGAGTTGGATACATAAGAGTTTGAAAGCTGGAACCGAGAACATTTACCCTTGTATTCACACTACTCCTCACAAGTAATAATGGCTTAATAAAAGTTTGGATTTGACATCTAGAGAATGACAATGATGATGTGATGATGATGATGATGATGATGATGATGATGATAATGATAGCAGCTACCGTTGATTTAGTTTTATGAGAAGCTAGACACGGTGATAAGTGCTTTATATTTATAACAGCTTTATGAGATAGCTCTTCATTACTGTCCCCATTTTGCAGATGGGAAACTGGCTTAGGAACTTGAAATAATTTTCATGAGATCACACAGCTAAAAAGCAATCTCTCCCCCTTCCTGATTGACCATTGCTTCTACTGCCAATACTATTGTTTCTTGTTCTGTAAGTAGGATTTAGATGTCAGTTTTTACCCACCTTGCAGCTTCTCGAAGCCTAGGACATTGTCATATACTCCCTTCTCCCCTGCTATGCAGGGTGCAGAATTGAACTCTCAACAATTGCTTCATCTTTTGCTTCTGAATTGAACTCTCCTCTTCTCCTACCTGTGYGGTGGATCATTTATGACATTTATGAGGTGCCTTGGCTGCTGTCACTAATCTTAGAAGCAACAAACTAGAGCAGATCTGGAGATAAGCCATATATCCGTGGATCTGAAACCCTTGACTTTTTGACATGTTCTGAAAGAGATTTTCTAAACAGCTGGAGAGGGTGATCTACAGAAAGGGTCATGGGTTCAGGGCTGCCTGGGGCTTTGAGTGAGTCCTGAAGGTATGAGTTTTTGAGAGCGGACTAACAAACTCAACTTATGTAAGCCTTCCCCAGATTTTATTGAGATCCCAAGAGTCATAGTCAGTTCAGTTCTCACTCCCACACAATGACTAAATGAACTGCCTGTACATTGGGAATGTCGACATCTACTAACAAGACAAGATTATTTGTTGAACCTTCCTACCTACTTCTGTTAAGTGGCTCCTTGGGTTTTCTGTGCAGTGACCAGATAGCTTACCTAGCTCAGGGGTGTGTGAGCTAGGGTCAACCATGTGTAAYTTCCCTCCTCCAGTTGTGAGAGCTTCAGCTCATGACAAAAGCCAGCGCTCTGACCTTCCTCAGACCTCATCAGCTTACACCACTCAACGGTGCAAAGTCTTGAAGGCCGACGCCTCAGCATTACAGCTTTTGAATGTGTGGTTCCAGGCTCAGTTGTATTTTATCCCTGTGTCTGCCTTACTTTARTAGACTCATTTTGTGAACTTTAGAGAAAAGTTCATACCAAATGTTGCTACTTATGTTCATGCTCTGATGTACTTCTCATTTCTTATTTCTCATATTATGTGAGCCCAAATTTTAATTAATGGAGATTTTTTTCTGACCTTTTTCTTCCCTCCCCTTTTTTTAAGGTGATGGACAGAATTTGTTTACGAAAGACGTGACAGTGATAGAGGGAGAAGTCGCAACGATCAGCTGCCAAGTCAATAAGAGTGACGACTCTGTGATTCAACTACTGAACCCCAACAGGCAGACCATTTATTTCAGGGACTTCAGGCGTAAGTTTCCATCCCTACTGTATTAGCCAACAACTCTTTTTTTCCTCCATGTTGTCTTGATAACGAGATTGCTAAGGCCACCTTTTTWAAAATTTAATGTTAGATGCTTAAAGTTGAGTCAATTCTTTAGAGGGAAGACGAGACAGGCAATCATAATCTTTCTACTTAATAGAAACCTTGAATGGTCCCCTTTAAAAGTAAGGCAGTCTTACTTTGCAATAGGAATTGATTGTAGTAATTCAAGGTGAATTGCAATTGAGTCCCAAATACTTAACTGACACAAACAACTCAAATGGGGTAAGGCAAGGAAAATATAGCATTCTGAAAGGTAATCTGTTTGGTTTGAAGATTGAGGTTTCTAAGGCAATCTGTGCTTGCATCGACAAACCAAATCTCACCATAGCCTCTCATGTGGGGGTAGCCATATGCTGAAATCTTTCCAAATATAATATAATAAAAGCCATTTATTGAAACTAAATTATGTGTAACAGAAATAGTTCAAATGGGTGTCGGGGMTTGGCAAAAGCAAGAGTTAAGTCTTTGGGAAAATTCTACTTGAGAGTATTAGTGTCTGACCAAAGCAGAATCCAGGATATCCCTTTCTGGCTACTTGTCCCCTCTCCTCCCAATATTGCAGGACATTCATGACTTGTAGAAAGAGTTGATAAATCTAAGAAACATTTACACAGATGAGAGAGGTTAAAAGGAGAAGCCAGCTTCTTACTCTTAAACTAGATTTTTTTAAAATATAGGCTAAGCTAGCCTTTGCCCAAATTAACAGGATTTTAGAAGGGAACATTTGAACTAAATAAGAAGCCCACATATACTACTTTTGTGGTGACTTTGATTTCCTACATGTTGTCTAATCAGTTTCAAACTGTGAAGCTRAAGATAGCTAGAAAACTACAGGATGAGTTTATGGCCTCTGTGGCCCTAGGTCGTCCACATTTGATAACTCCATCTTAAATCATATCAAATAAATTAAGATGGATCCAAGTTGTGGCTTAGGAACTTGAAATAATTTTTGAAGTGATTTTTTAGATTTCACTTTGAGACTATTACTAATGAAATTTTAGTTCTCTTTCATAATTTGAAACTGCTTTTTTTTTTTTTAAAGCCTCAGATTTTTAGAGATCTTTTAGAAGCTTGTTGGCCTCAGTTTCTGAATTTCTGGTACCTAAAGATTAAGAGGGGCTGGCTTCTCAGTGACAGAGGACCCAGGACATGACCTTTCCTTTTGTTTTTATTTTGCCTATCTCTTATAGGAAACTGAAAACAATTATGAGCAAGTGCTGAAAAACTGATGGTGCTTGGAATTGTGCCAGTGTGTGTGTGTGTGTGTGTGTGTGTGTGTGTGTGTGTGTGTCTTTTCTTTGGGTAGAGCTGTCTATATGCAATTACTACAGAAACCCAAAATAGTACCCAACAGGTAAAGAAAGGCTTAATGAATTTTTCCACTCTGTGGCTGCCTTTTTAGCCATGTGACTTTTTCCTCCCCAAATTAAGGAAAATAGACTGTCATTGCCATTGTCTTTTCATAGTCACTAACTCAGTGTTTTGTTTCACAGCCCTGAAGGACAGCAGGTTTCAGTTGCTGAATTTTTCTAGCAGTGAACTCAAGGTGTCGTTGACAAATGTCTCCATTTCTGATGAAGGGAGATACTTCTGCCAGCTCTACACTGACCCCCCACAGGAAAGTTACACCACYATCACCGTCCTGGGTAAGAAATGCACGGGTTCACATTGGGAAGCAGAGTGGGCTGGCCCATACTAACAAATAGCTTCCAGCAGCAAAGAGAAGGTTAATGGTGGATTTCACTGTTCCAACTTGTTTTAGGAAGAATCACCGCCCATCTTGCTGAATTTTAAAAATAGCCTATTTTACCAAACGCTCTAAGGAATGGCAATCAGCAGTCTTTATAGATTCCACCTGCTCTTGGGTTTCAAACCTCAAGCTTTAGAAGCAAAGATCAAGAGAATTTAGAGCCCTCAAATGAATCACTCACCACATGAAATGTCATTGCTTCTAACTACCAGGAATTTTTTGCTTCTGTGCAGAAGGAAAGATGGGCTCTCACATCTGTACCCCATGGCAGAGCTATTATGGAATCCACGTAATGATTTTCTCTTCTGAGTTACATCCTCGTTTTAATGTTGTTGCTCTCCTTTTCTTCGACTTTACTTATTGCCTTGTTTATTGTTTATACTCTAGATTATACTATAAAAAGTCTTACCTTGTGAACACATACTTTGCCACAAAGTGCAATCATTGGACATAAAAGAGTTAAGAGCTCTTTAACTGATAAACAATCAAAGCACCATTGCCAGGCTTCTAGGTACATCTCTAGTGAGCTGAGTATCTTCATTTATGATCACCAGATTGTGATTTTCAGCAAAATCCCAGTAGCCAGGTTTCTGTGTTTTTATTTTGATATAGTTAGCAGATCCTAGTATACTGAAGGTGATCTGAATTAGTCACCTTTTAGACAAACATGTACTCCAGGGCATAACACCAGCTGATCTGGACTTTTGAAACTGAAATTTCAAGGACATACACTGTAGCACAAGGCAAGATCTCTGATTTACACCTTYGGGAAGATGATGAATCAAAGTCTGTTTGAAGCGGCAGACTGCAGCTTTTCGGTGTAATGATATGAAGATTAAAGAGGAAAGATAAATATGAAGGACATTTTTGCTTGGTGTGTGTGCACATATATGTATTTATGGATGTACATATTGAGCTTCTGCCTCATTACTTTATTTAAACACAGCTGTAAAAGGGAAAATACTTTTTTATTCATTAAGCTAAAACATGTTCCCAAAGCTTACATATATGCCCTTGAGAAGAGAAATACTGATTTTAGGAAGTCAGGAAATCTGGCCATACAGTTTCTAATGTGGTCTGTGTTTAGTGATGGCTTTTCAGGTGCACAAGCTTGTCATTATTAGTTTTGATCCATATTAGACCTGCAGAGATAGAAGGCATGGAAGTTTTGCTGGGGGGTGATTATTTTGGTCTTTTGCAGATATACCAATTCACCAATGTACATTTGAAGCTGTCTGTCCACTTGTGTAGAAGTATTTGAAARTAGACTGCTTATTGCCCTGCTTCAKTAGCTGCATAGACTTCAAATTGACCAGCCATCCATTGACCATTTGTGGCATTTCCACAAAAATGATAGCAATGAAAGGAAATATATTAATAGCATTTTGGATTTTCACTATATTTTACTGTTTGGAGGAAGTATAGATATCTTAATTTCACAGAAGAAAAATAACAGGTTAGTCATCCTGCCCAAGTTACAAAGTATTCAGTGACAATCAAGAATCTGAGAATTCAAAACAGATTTGATGATTCTGTCTCACAGCCTTTGTGCCTTCTGGGTTAGACTGTTTTCAGTTAAATCCTGAATGCTGCCGTTTCAAAGTTTTCTTAGATGCACATCTTTGGTTTTCAGGAGTCTAGCTGGTCATTGGCAAGTAGTCACTGCCTGTCAGTCTCAGAACCACTGTATTGAACTAGATTGACTATGAATACACCCTGGGCTTGGGAGTCAATGTACCAGCACTAGATTTTTGAGAGGCATTGTGCCTATAATCCTTTTGGAGGTCTCATTATTCTAGAAGTAATAGGTTCCTGCTTGTATTTTATAGAAGCATTAACTTAAATATACTTGAAAGTAATGTTAGTCAATGTTCTCTTTGCAGATATTATGCATTCATTTAATATTCTTTCCATTGAATTTACTCTAGGCATCCTTGACAGAGTAAAATTGTTGTCATCAGTGTTTGAGTCTTTCATATTCCAAAAATCTGACAATTTCCTCTGATACTCAAATATTCAAAYCCTCCTCGTAAGGTTTAGAGTTTTCAGATATTATAATGAATGAAGAATGATGTATTAGCATCTTCGTTACTATCTATGTTTCTCCGCAAAGCATTCCATATATGCTTACACAGCTGTCAAGCTTCTTGATAGGTTGAAGTTGCACATTTTAGTGCATATGTTTATTAGTTATTTGACACATTTGGCAAAAATTTCAGCATAATTATAACGTATAGACATGGGTATTTGTTAATGTTATCCGTGCTACTTCATAGTTAACATTATGTTTCAGTCTCATCTGTGCAAAAACTGAAAATTCTCCTGTGATACCTTGCATTGATCTGGCTGCCTTGTAGAATATTCATTCATTCCTTCTACTTGTGATGAGTTTGTTTTTTTTTCTCCAGAACACAGTGTAGGACTCTTTATGCTACTATTCATGAGAAGAGGTGAATGAGAGAAAATAACACTGCTCCAAGATTAATGTAGTTACTGATAATAGTAGCTAATATTATTACAATCCTGTCTTTCTAAGATTAGTGTTCACTCTTAAGATTCCAGGAACAGGAGAACCTAATTATTTTAAAGGGTCTTAGAGTGAGATTTCATGTGCTGATCAGGTTTAAGACTCTTTTGTTGTAATTAATGTGACTCATCTTGATATTGCTGATTTTTTTAAATGTTGTAGGCGTAATGTTTATAATTAGTACTCTTATAGATTTGAGGTTAGTTAAGTAGGACCTTGACATTTCATTGCTATTTTCTGGTATTTTCCTCTGTGGTTTTCATTCAGGTTTTCATCTGTATGTACCTCCTTAGATATATCTTTGGTTATTTTCATTAATGGCTGCAGGCAGTTTTTACTAAATGTGTCTGTTTAGTGGACCATGTATAAGTGTATTCTCTGGTTAGCAGCAGTTTTAATTCATTTTTCTTATAAATGGATTTTTATACTTTACTAACCTCTTTTGTATTGGAATAGACATTATGAAGTTAAAGGAAAAGCAGGGTAGGATTAATAGACCAAAATAAATTTTTTTCCTTGTCCAATCCTCTTTTTTCATAAAGACAGATTTAAACAACCTCATTATATTTTCCAAAGCTTTCTTGCTCTTAAAAAAAAATTCTGAGAGAAGTCACAGTTATAATATCAAAAAATTCATCATGACTCACGTTATCAGATTTTATTTTACATTTGTAAATCAAACAACTCCCACTATACTTGCCCATTTCTTCTAATCTTAGCAAAGATTAGAAATACTGGTCACAGTCTTGAGAAAACTATTTATGGATGTGGGAAAAATCATTCAGCTATTTCTCAAAATGATGAGCTCAACAACAAGTAAGTTCTTTATTTTTCTATACTTGATTTTTGAAGTTTTCTACACTTTTACCTTGGCCATAAAGTTAAAGATGATGTCAGCTCTTTAGGAAGGCAATCCTAAAATCTAACATTGGTACAGGAATCCCTCTCAAGGTTATAGAACTTTAGAGCGCATCCRTTGTAGCAGAGAAGTAATTAACCGGGTAATACCAAACAATAAGAATCCCAGATAGGAACCTCCCTGCCAGTCAAGCTCTCAACCCCCAAACAACATCTAGAGGACACAGCTGATTTTTCACTGTCCTATCTACATCTGCCCATTTTCATTTTCTTCTTTGAAATACTGGTCACAGTCTTGAGAAAACTATATGAGATATAATGTGGAAAGAACATGCCACCATTTTTATGACCAAATAGAGTGAGAAAAGACTTTCCACCAAGAGATAATAGTGGAGATGGGGGTTAGGTGGTGCCTGGGGTAAGTGTATTAAGGTGTATGAGGCTCAACAAGAAGAGACAAGAGAAAGGCAAGATCACCAGGAGGCCAGAAAGCAGCTGTCTGACAGACTACATTTAAGGCTAAGTAAACTCTTCTGAGATTTAGCAGTCTCTGTAGCAGAGTCTTTTAACAACTCCTGGATCTGTTTCCATCCAAAACATTCCCAGATTTCTACAGAGTGATCACCAAGGCATTTCTCCCAGAATAATAAAGTAGAATCAGATCCACCCCATTCTGTGGGGATTTCCAGGATGGCCAGTAGATTTAGCCCTTTGCCTCCATCACATCCTAAGAGAGCCCTTCTTTAGCTTCATGTCCCTTCGTTTACTCACTTTCAGTTCTCACTAGGAGCCATTGCTGTACCCATATCAAAAATTGTTTTTATCACTCTAGTTTTGTTTTTGCCTGGACCTTGAATGGACCATTTATTCTCTTTCATTCCTTCATTGGTTTGAGAGGACCTTGTTTCCTTCTTATCTCTTTTTAGTATCCCTTATCACTGTCTTGTTTGCCAAGGTCTTGTTTCCTTTAGCCTTGGACAGTCTTTTCCACTGATATTCCATCTAATAATGGCATTTCCCCCCCAAAATTCATGTCTACCGCACTCAGAATGTAGTAGTATTTGCTGGTCTGAAACATTTCTGTGTATCCCCTATCCACTGCCTAGGTATATGGAATAAAAATGTGTAACTGACCTGATCATCACCAAGGAGATAAACTATGCTAAGGATACCACCAGCTGAAGTCATATCATTTCTTTTGTCACTGCCTTTCTGTGTCTCTTAAAATGCTGGCAGATGTGCAAGTCCAAATTGGATGTTAAATTATCCCTCTTTTTGCTTATTTTTTCTTGAAATGTAAGCTAGGGTAGTTCTTTGCCATGCTTAACTACTCATTTGGGCCATATCACATTAGCATCACGTCCAATTGAGCAAATATGTTGTTTTCCTTGTACACAGGGAACAAAGAGGAATGCTTTTGCTTTAGTTGTTGTTCCCCTCCCCCACCACAGCACACTATCTTGCTGAGAAATATATGCAACAAAWCACTTTACTTTTCCTTTTTCATCATTCCCTATAAGAATTTTCTATTGCTCCAATTCAGTATAAAAGTCTTCCTGTGGGCAGAATTTTCATGTTGGACTATAACAGTTGGAAATCCCAAATATGTGGTTTAATCCTATAATTTATTGAAGCAGTATCAGAGATGTATTATTCAACTTGATCATCGGGATGGCATGTTTATACATATTTAATTTCTTGTTTCTCTTCTGAGTTGAGAAACTTATTAATCATAAGTCTCAGAACTGTCTTTGCTTATTCATGGTGGTCAGGACACATATTCTTAGATTCACACTACTGAATTCCATATTCTTACTGATTTTTATTTCAAGAGGTTCAGTCTTGAGTTAAGGTTGCACCTTATGAAGTTTCACTGTCAACTTAGTTTCATTAAAAAAAAGAAGAAGAAGAAGAAGAAGAAGAAAAGAAAAACTGCCAGGCACAGTGGCACACACTTGTAATACCAGTGACTCGGGAGGCTAAGGCAGGAGGATTGTAAATTTGAGGCCAGTCTCAGCAACTTAGTGAGGCCCTAAACAACTTAGTAAGACCTCGCCTCAAAATGAAAAATAAAAAGAACAGATGCAAAACATGCTCCTAGGGTGTGGCTCAGTGGTTAAATACCCCTAGGATCAATCCCCAGTACCAAAAAAACTCCCTTCATCATCACCACCATCATATTCTTCATACTCTTGATTCGATATTTAGTATGTCAGCCCTAAAATTTTTATTTTGGCTGTTTTATCACACATATCTTTAATGTGCTTATAGAAGAGTAGTTTTAATTCTATTTAAATCTGCTTACATTTCTAAAATCAGGACCATTGGAATTCAGAATATGGAAAATTACTTCAAGAGAATTGGCATTCCCTCTATTATTGCATCTTCATATTCAAAGGGTTTTATTAATATGCCATCCATTGGAGAACATGATTGAATTCTGGATTTCTGTGGCTCTGTTTAATTAAATGGAACTGGTCCTGATGTAATTTTTCTGTGTGTGTTTATGGTGAGTGATTCTTTTGAGGGACCCCCAGTTTTTGACCTTTGTTGATAGACTTTGAAATCTTTTATATGAAGATTGAAATCCAAGCATTGAGTTAAGACGTATTACTTTCAGGGGCTTCCAGGTAAGGACAGTAATTTCAATAATGTGTACTCCTCCTTGTTTTATATCTGTTTTCTGATCAATTTTGTAATGATGGATGAATAACTAATACCTATATCATAGCATTGTTAGTGATGATTTAATAGTGGAAAACTGGTCATTTTATATGATACATGTAAGAGAAAAATTAACTGATCTTGCGTAACTCATTTTATCTAGTGATGGCTTTGCCCTTCTCTTCCCTCTGCCTGAGGCATTTGCTCCTCTTGTGATGGTTTGTCTTAAATTTCTATCAGAAATGTCCACTATTTTGTCCCTTTTTTGATAGCAGTAGTGCTAGTTTCTGATGAATGGAAGAATATGTCTAGAAATGGATTTTGTATTTACAAAGCACATGTATTTAATCTGCAGTCCCACCACGTAACCTGATGATCGATATCCAGAAAGACACTGCGGTGGAAGGCGAGGAGATTGAAGTCAACTGCACTGCCATGGCCAGCAAACCAGCCACAACTATTAGATGGTTCAAAGGGAACAAGGAGCTCAAAGGTAACAGAGAAACCACCCTGTACTGAAGTTGTTAGTTGGTCCTTGATTCTAGCAAGTATGCCTTTGTGAAAATTAGGAACAGGTGCAAAACATGCCCCTTAAATAAAAGCATTTATTTAGGTATGGTTCATAATCAATTACTAAAGACATCTGAGGTCAAAGCATAACAGCATTGTTCTAATTCATACCCTCTCGTGTGATTTGTAGGTTCATGGTGAGATTTGTTGCTCTATTCAGATGCCTAGAGAAAACTAAACCTGAAAACTAGAACTCTTCAGGCCAGAAGAGCCACTGTTGGGGGTATTCCCTCAGCTCAGACCATTTCTGTATCTCAGTTCTTATTACACAAAATCCCTGCATTTTGTGGTGGCTCAGACTGGGTCAAAACCCCACATTTTTATAAGCATTTTTTAAAATTCCAGATTCTAATATCTGTTGCACTATCGATTGTATTGACTATTTGCTTTCCTTCCAGAGAGGTTGCACTAAGTAGACAAAGAATTTTATCCTACTTATGAATTTACAGTAACCATATCCCTTGTGAAACCTATAATTCAGATGCCCAATTCACTGGTCTGTTCTTTTGCATCTCTGCCTTTGTGGGAGCAGTGCAAGTGATTCCTTTAGTCATACTGCAGTTGGCTCTCCCTCAGTATTGAGTCATCCCAGGTTTGACTCCTAGGTCCTCAATCCCTGCCACCTCAGATGTTGCTGAGAAAGGAGACAGCCTGTACCCTGTTGGACCATATTTTGCCACTTATCCTAAGCCTTTCACATATGTTGTGTTCAGATTCTTTCTTTTCAAGGTTGACCTCCAAGTAGTATTCTAAAGAAAGGACTGACCTACTCTGGTCATTTGACCGAAAACTAGCTGTGGGCCTCACTTTCTTCTAAAATAATAATATGAATTTATAGGATTCTTATGAAAGTGAAATGAGTGAATATTTGTAAAGCATTATTAAGCTAGCCCCTGGGCCAACTTAAGTGCTGTGTGCTTGTTAAATAAATAAACAGTGTGAGGAAGAAARGAATAAACCCTTTTAGAAAGGTGATACAGAAATCTATATATGGAAACAGAGAAATCTATATCTAACAGCTCAAGTTTCCAAAAGCTTGTTCTGTTTAAATCTCCTATTTCCTAGGTATGGTTTTAGAAGGAAGGAGTTTCTCATTTCCCCTCTGCTTTTCTGTCTAAGTGAACTGAGCCATTAAATGTGTACCGATAAGTACAAAACATTAAAAGAAAGTTAATGTTGTGCCATGTTCCTGGGAGTGCTGGGTTCAGGAAGGGACTGCCCCAGCCTATTCATTCTATCCGGAAGCCTCCTGCCCACTTTTCTGGGTGTTCTTGGACGTGTCTCCCATCTGGCCCAAAGCCCTGTATCTTACTTTGCTCTAGCCCACTGCCACTGCGTTTCTATGGTCTTCCAGAAGTCTCAGAGTTTAAACATTTCAATTACAATTTCAATTATGTAAATCCATTTAGTTACTTTCCCTCTTAATTGTTGATGATGGGGGTAGGCAAAAAGGGTTGTTTATATCTCCACTGCTGATTGAATTACTTAGGGGATTTGGATGACGTCCTGGAATTTTTAAATGGCATGACAGCCTCAGAGATATTTCAAGTTCAGATAGTTGTAATTAGGGTGAAAAACGCTTTGCTTTTCCTCCTTCCAAATACCTTGGAACAGCCAGATATCAAAGTGGTTCAACCTTTTGCTGACTTTTTAGGGGGACTGAGATAGAAGAAACATATAATATACTTCAGTAAAAATACTGTGTACTGCTTGGGGTTGAATACATCTTAAATATGATTCTGTAAGTTTTGAAAAATAGGAAATTAAGGGAAACAATCTTTTTATCAGTTATCCATTCACAGATTTCCCTTCTCCAAGTAACTTCCATTATATTTGTTAAAATAGTATTGTTGAGTTTGGAAGGAAAGAAGAGAATTTAAAACTGGAATGAGGCAAATTCTTTCTACCATCTCTGGTTGTTTATACATTTCCTTTCCTGCTAGGCAAATCGGAGGTGGAAGAGTGGTCGGACATGTACACTGTGACCAGTCAGCTGATGCTAAAGGTGAACAAGGAGGATGATGGGGTCCCAGTGATCTGTCAAGTGGAGCACCCTGCGGTCACCGGAAACTTGCAGACCCAACGGTATCTAGAAGTACAGTGTGAGTACCTGAGCATCTTACTCTGAGGGCATAGCACGGCAGTTACTTAGAACCTCTTCAGATGCCATTTGTTAGATGCATACATACATTTTATATAGTATTGATAGAATATTTTTCCTGTTATCTTGGTAGAAAAATAATCAAAGGATTGTTTTAAGGAAATACTGTCATCTTACAAAGTGCCAGTGAGAGTATGAGGATTCCACATTTAACCCAAATGAAAAACTGAAATGATTTCAATCTGCTTTAACATATGCAAAATTGATTTCTTTGAATATAGACAGTCATCATTTTTGTTCCAGCTTCAAATTCTGGAGTAATCCCTTCTTTTTCAATCCCATCATAAGCATTGGATTTTGTTTTAAAGGAGGTGTTTTATTTCCATTCCACATCAGCATTTTGTTTTAATTGCACATTCTTTTCTGTTTGAGGTTAAATTATAGCAGTGAGTTGAAAGTCAAACTCTTCGGGATAAGTGCCACATCTTGATGGCTTCATCAATAAAAACTAGACTGTAGTGAGTAAGGCTGTCTCCCTATGGTGCCCTGTAGACTAAATATGTTCTCCGCATCTTCTCCTCTAGACCCTTCTGCATCAGAGGAAAAAAAAAATCTGGTTTCTGCCCAAATTCATTCTTGTGCCAAGGTTATGGCCAAGTAGCCAGCTTCTCACTTTTCATCAAAAGGCTTCTGTAACTTGGCCTCTGAAAACTTTCAGGTGATAATTGAATATACAGAATAAAAATGTTTTAAAAGTTTGGTTGGGATGGCGGAAGTTGGGAATCTGATGAAGGAAATGTGTTACCCTTTGTGAATCTTTATGTTGGTACCCTAGAACCACAGTAACAAATTATAGCACCATAAACTTGGTGGGTTAAAACAATAGAAATTAATTCTGTCGGTTCTGGAGACCAAAAGACCTAGGTGTCAATCAGTCAGACCATATCCCCCGTCCCCAAAGGTTTAGAGAAGGATCTTTTTTTTCCTCTTCCAGCTTCTAGGAACCCCAGGAGTTCCTTGGCTTATAGCTTCATAACTCCATTCTCGGTCTTCATATGGCTTTCTCTTCTCTGTGTGTCTCTTACAAGGACACTTGTCACTGAATGTAGGTCCCACCCAAGATAATCCAGTACAGTCTCAAGATCCTTAAGTTAACTATATCTGCAAAAACCCTTTTCCCATATTAGGTGACATTCACAGGTTTCAGGGATTAGAACTTGTACATATCTTTGGAGGCCATGGATCAACCTGATGTTTCAATTCTCTGAGCAAACTAGGGGCAGGGAAAGTTTTTAAAAGTTGCTTGTAAAAGACCCTCCCATTCCAACCTTTTCTTACTCTGTGAGTTTGGCTCAATTTAACATTATATAATGCAGGTTTTTCTTGTTAATTCATTTCATCCACTTCATTATATAGCTTCATTATGAGCATCATGCTTATAATTTTCATATCACTAAAACTATTGTGGTGTAATGTCCCTATAATGGGAAAACAGAAATGATCAGATATTATCTAAATTGGCAGATAGTAGATTTCTTGTGACTTTGTTAATATGTAATTCATTTAAGCAAACTTAATATCCATTAACTTTCTTTGTAGGGGCCCATTAGCTTTAATAATACATTAGCTCCTTTGTGAGTCCTGAGTAGATATTCGCCCAGTTTCTGCCCCTAAACTCTTTAAGTAGTTTCCCAGGGTGTCTTTTAAACAAAATGTAGCCCCACCCACCTACAAAATTATACTCCTCCAAATGCAAAAGTATTTCAAGCAGTATATCTTCTCCCCCTTGGAAAAACTTGATACTAATCCTTATAAACCTTTGCTTCCATATCCTACAGATTCAAGAGATTCATCCTTCTAAGAAAAGTAATAAGGCTCTATAAGTGAATCCATTTGACTTCAATATAACAAAGTGCCCCTGGCTTCTACCTACAGGAAGGGACTTTAACATCTTCCATAGATGAGGATGTGATCATTTCAAACTCTAACATGGCATTTATTTTGTGGGCAGCTCTCTCGTCTTTTATCCAACATAAGCCACACAAACAATTTATCCTTGAAGTTCCATTTTGGAATATAAATAAGGAGAAATCTCTTATGTAAAAGATGGTTAAGAATTATAAAGTTTTGTATAATTCAAATGGGAATTTTAGGTCTGGCTTGAAATCTTCAATAAGGCTGTCAGTGCTCAAGAAAGTCACTTGATATTTCACTACCCTCTATTCCTAGAGCACTGCTGAGAACTTTCTGGAGCTGGACAGGAATTCCCTAAGCACGTCTTCAAACACAATTGCACATTGCTGCATTATTTCCTACCAAGTTTCCTCTCCTTGAACACCAGTAGCTATGCAATAACAAGAGCTGCGTGCCTCAAGTGGCTGTGGCACTCAGTTTCTGGGCTCTACAGTCTGCCAGTTGTTCACCAGTGGTGGGCAGTGGACCAACTCCAGTCCCTCATAGCAGTCTTCTCTGCAGACAGGCAGCACCATATATTGATGGTCATGAGGAAAGAGTAGATTTCTGAAGGCACGAGAGTCTTAGACTAATTTATAAGTAGCCAATCTACATAAAAGTTGAATTGTGGATACCTTGTGAGGATTAACATTACACCTGTATTTTTAATTGACCCAGACCCTTGAAGCTTGCAGTTCAGCCTTTTTAGGATCACTTCAAAATTCCTTTTATAACTATACATCTGGAAAGGTAAATAAGATCACATATTTACCACATTTAGCTTACAATCTGAAGAGTCCATTTCTCCCTCAGAGTTATTAGGGCTGCTTTATAAGATCCATTTTTTTTACATCATTTTATTGCTTTAACCTAACCAAGACCTATGTAATAATGTATGTAAATATATTAATTTTATTTTGTTAGGCACACTTTCTTTTAAATGTCCTTTTCCTTGCTACCTAAAAAGATTGCTTATACTATCAATGATAGATATTATCACCAGGAAGTACTGAGTCCCTCTAAGGGCCTCAGATTCTACTTTGAGTGAATAAGACCAGCTTGGGGCAATTTATCCTGATCTGAATGCTGTTAAGTGTGCTCAGTTGGTTTAACCCTGGCCTATTTTGGCCAATGAAGTTTTATGGAAATGTCTCTACCCCATCTAAGACAAATGAGTGTTAACCAGGTTATGAATAGGGTTCAAGGACAGATGATAGATTTGAATTGTGTATAAGTTATATCTTTTTAAAAAAAATAATGTTAAAAGGAAAAATAAACAGTGGTCACTTGCATGCCATTGAATACTTCAAGTATGACAAGGAACCAAGAGAGGAAGGATAAGAGAGGAAAGGGGTATACTTCTCCACTTAAGGTGGGTGTCTCCATACTATATAGCYGTGACCCTCAGTATAGAATTCAGATTGCTGTGCAGAACGGAGGAAAGCTGTACTCTGGATGGAGACAACCGGGCTTGAGCTGCAACTTGGAATTGCTTTTGTCTTGTGGATTTAAGTCCTAATTAATTGAACCAGAATTTTGCAGTGTTTGTTTGTTAGTACCCTTATTTGTGGTACCAGGAGAAATTTTTGTGCCCAATTATGTGAAAAATCATCCAGATGTGTATGCTGTCATACTTTTAATAATCCTTAAGTTTTTGGTGAGTACAGATATTAATTGTGTAGTATGCATTGAAGTGATTAACATCAATGTAATTTATCATCTGGAGATTTCTGAACATAAATAAATGAGTTGTTTTGTTCAGCAAGGTGTTGACCCCTTCAAAATCAGTGAATTAAACCCCCCCCCTTTTATTATAAATATGAAAGGCACCACAATCAGCCAAGTGTTCAGTTATTTGATTTTCTGGGGCATTAGCCGCTCTTGTTTGTGACATTTCCCTGTTGGGTGCTCGTTTGCAAGCTCATTAATAAGGTTTTCTCATAGGAACGTGGCTGGGAATGAAGAACATACAGTAGGGCTCTTAGTTTCCTAGCTTTCATTCTGAGACCCAGCAAGGGTATAGCAGCAGCATGCAGTTAAATGTTTAAAACAGAAAATAATTATGTTCGCAAGCTAGAATTCAAAGCTCTGTTTTCTTAGATGTTATGCAGAGAACAGTTTTGCTTTTTAATGTTCTGAGCTATATGACCTGAAAATCTTTCTGTGCTTTTTTTTTTTTTTCGTGCAAATGTCTATATAGGTTGTGTTGCCCACATTTACAACATGCTTGATTATAGCAGCTCGTGATACAATTGTAGCATGGTTGGTAGAGTTTCAGATCTGAGGGAATGCACTCTTGTCAAATGAAAGCCTGTTTAAATGAGAACAGTTCACTGTCTGCACGTTAAAAGAAAACTGTCTAAATAGCATCAAGGTGGCAACACATAGCGACGTAAGCTGGGGATTCAAAGAGAAGCTGTGACCCTCAGTATAGAATTCAGATTGCTGTGCAGAACGGAGGAAAGCCTTACTCTGGATGGAGGCAAATGTGAAGCTCTTGAATGACTGCTGTGTGTCTTTGATTTCACCCATCATAAACTTACTCTTTATCATGTTTTGCAAAAATCCTCATTTTGTGAGGGTTTCACGTGTGTGTRCATATTTATAAAAAGAGAAATAATGAAGAGATGAGTTTTGAAAGAGAGAATGAAAACAAAGCCTCTAGAAATGGGTGTGTGAATGCCTTCCCTGCCCTGATCAGCAGCTGACAGTTAATCGTGTATGTGGGCATCATTTTCAAAATGAGTTTTATTGACTAGATGTAGACAGGTATTTTATAAATCCATATTCCTGTTCATCCAAGTCCAGAGGATGGTAGATTTTTTCCTTTCATTCCCTCATCTGGGGGAAAATTGGGCATTGAGGAGATGATCAAAACTTGTTCTTTATCTGTGACAAAATAAATGTTTCTCTGGTATTGATAGTGCCCTGCGGTGAAGGAGGAAGAAAAACCTGGAAATTGGCAACTCTTTCCTGTTGGAGTGGAGGATAAGACTTAGTTTCCAAGAGTGGCTCCTCTGTCACATTCTCTCCCCCATCAATTCTGTT